TGAGAAGTTTGAAGAGGAACCAGAAAGGAACACCATGTCCAGGTGACAGTTAAGTTACCTTGTCTGGATTTTGAGCATAGGAGTGTCTAATAAATCAGCACCACAAAAGTCTTCCACAATATCTAATGGCAGTCCATTATTCAATTTTCAGAAATAATACATGCACAGTGACTTCTTGGACCATTATTTTATGGACCATGTAGTGGTCTATTACTGAGACCATTACTGTCAGTTTTGAAGAATAGACAAAAATCACTCAAAATGGCCTGGCTACTTGAGGATTTGTGCTCCTCCTCAAACACAGCTCTCTAAACTACTAGTTCACACAGATAACAACATCTTATCTCTTCCATGTACTCACATTAAAGCTACATATTTGTAGAGCCTACAGTAAGAACATCCAGAGTCAACCCAAAAACATACCTGTTCATGAGTCTACTGCCTGTGACCAGCAGCAGAGGCTCAGAAAAAGACTGTAAGAAGCAAAGGATGATTAGAGTAACCCTTGGTAGTGTTAGCGGCTATCTCCTCCCAAAGGAACCAATTCAGTATGTTTGCAAACTTTCTTAGACTAATCACACTGCAAAGCCTGGAACCAAACTGTACCCTCAGTAAGTGTGGCAACTTCCTTGGAGGTCAGCAAAACCAGTCTTCACAAAAAGAGAAGAAAATCCAAGCTTATCCATATTCTGGCAGACCATTATCAGTAACAATCCAGAACTGGCTCAATTCCGTCTTTTCAAGACACATAACAATTACAATCCTACTTCACAATATTAACAAATACGGCAAGAGAAGTTTTCCACAAGAGACTACTAGTTGGCCTGCTTTTGTATGTCCCAATTTTGCATGTGCAAACTCTCTTGAATTTGAAGTGCAAGTGTATAAACCAAGCATATATATACACGCATGAAAGACAAGGCATTTATTTTTAAGACTTTAAAAAAGACAAGGTCTTTTAAAAAAAAAAAAGAGAGAGGTCTAGCAAGAAATTGAGGAAAAAAGCAAACAAACTTAACCTATTTCAAACTACTGCAAGATTGTGTTTGTAGAGGACAACTGGGAAGGCGAAGGACAATATCCATGTCAGAGCTTCATCACTTACAATCAAAATTACATATTCAGCAAGACTAAGAGACTCAAAAGAGCAAGTGGATTGAAAAAGGATTAATTTTTCATTTTGTGTACACTTAGTTTTGAGCCTGGGTTTAGGTAACAGTGATGTTTAGGAGTACACAAGAGAAACCAATGTGGTGTTCAGAGAGTCGAGACAGAAGGGAATTCAATGCGTAATGCTCCACTTGAAAAAACAAGTACAGGGACAGAAGTAAAAGATGGTTTACAGAGCGTAAAGACTGGAGTGGCAGGTGAAGGGCAAAAGAAGGAGAGATAAAAGGTTCCAGTGAACTTATGCAGTGATGTAAAAGGAGAAAAATACTTAAAGTAAAAGGAGAAGCACTACAAATATTGAACTGGGTAATACATTGGCATTAACTGAGTGAGCAGCATTTCAAGCAGGCTGTAGAGGAGGAATCAGGACATAAGGGAGCAAGAGGCTGCACACAAGCCACAAACACGTGCTTACAGTCATCCTGAGCTGTAGAAATCTGAGTGATGCTGCCCAAACATTGGTTCTGCATGTCCTTAGCACACTGATGACAGATACCTAAACTACTTCTCTGTAACACCACCACAATGGACTCCAAACACTTCACACATCCTCCTTGCAAGTCACCACTGGACATACGCATGGTACAGAAGAAAGCTACACTGCAAGTAATACTGGACAAGCTCTAGATTTGGTCATGACGGATAAGATTTTGTTGTTTCCCCTACTGAAACAATAACTGAGCATTGAGATTATGCTTTTCCTCTTCCAGATCATCGCAGTTTATACCTGAAAAGCGAAGCGCACTCTATAAAGAATTTCCCTTCAGTTTGGCAGGTGGGTCAGATATGCAGTATCCACTGTCCACTATACCACAGTAAGACACATTACCTTGACCAAATTTCATCTGTGTTGAACACTTAACTGTATGACAGGTTAAACATTGCTTATGGTACCATACACAGTGCAAACACCCTAGAGCATAGTATTCTTTACTTTCCTGCATAAGGACAAGTTCTCTCCCATCCTGGGAAAGGAAGTCAGATTTCTACAGTAAAATAATAATCTTACACTGACACTAGTGGTGACAATAGCTTCCTCCCCTCTTGAACCTCCAGCTGTTTTAACATCTTGAATCTACATCTGGCCATAAACCTCAGAATGGCACAATGTGGTATATTTCTCAATCAGCAGTTATGCTGACATCACTTTAGACAATTATATTAAAGGAAAGGCCAGGTTCCTAGTTGATTTTATCACTTTACCACAGACTTTACCAGAGTTGATCATCCTTGACTCATCAGTGGGAACCGGTAAAGTGGGAGGTGAGAACTTGTAACAGCGCATCGCGTGTTTGGAGAAGTCCTATGGGGCCATCAACAATACAGCTTGGCTCTTACGCAAGGCCTCAGACACAGTTATCCCTCAGAATCTCAGCTAACTTCTCCCCACCCCATGCTTAAGAGGGACTCCCAAAATGCTGCAGGATGCACTGTGGCCCATAACGACTCACTATGCTGACAATACTTGGCTCAATTTCTCCTTGATACCACAGCTATGATTGTGCGCCTCAGTGCTTTGCAGGGTTAGAAGCACAGGTAGAAATTAACTGGTTTAAACTTAATCCTGAAAGGATGATGGCAGTGATGGAGAGGAAAATACCCTGAGGCCCTGATGAGCACTATAATTATGCCTTCTGTAAGAATAATTCCCACTCTTGTCCAAGTGGTTTGTAGTTTCAGGGATTTACTGGATCTACTGCTAATCCTAGGTTCTCAGAGAAACCTTCCATCTCCCACAAGCCTATGATCTCACTCCCTCATAAGTCTTTTTACAGTCTTCTCTACCTACTTCATCCTTACTTATATCCTATGGTATAATAGCATTTCTGGGACCACCCCCAAAAATTACTTGAAAACAGGAGCAGAGCAGGATATTTTATGGAAAAGGTCCTCTGCTGAAATGCTCTCCATTCACGGTCCAGCTGAGCACTAGCTGTATCACTCTACGCTTTCTGCCACCAGACCTCTAACTGGCAGGTATTCTCCTCCTCGTGGATGAGTTGAGACTGGTCAAGAGTTTATCAGGCTCAACTGAAAAGTATGGGACACACTGGTTTTACAGGCACCCGTTATCAGAACCTAAACACTATGAAGACTTACACATACAGACCACATTCAAACATTAACTAATGTAATACTTGCACAAACCAGCGCAATGAGGTCATAGGAATTGACCCGTTTCACACAGCTATACTCAATTCGCTGACCTGGAACAGCCTTTAATTAGGCATTTCCATACTCTTAAAACAAACTTATAAATAATGCCCTTTCATGTAAATAAGGGATTTACAAGTAAGTTTTCCAAACAAAAATACAGCAGAGCAAAACCCCTTGAATCCATGAGGTGCTTATGGAGAAATTATTCATATATGCCTTTCAAATATGGCATGGAACCTAAAATGTCTGAGGAACTGGCATTTCTGTACTTTGGGCTTTCCGAAGAAAACAGAACCTGCAGTCAAAAACCACATTTGGAATTACTTCACTTTAGCCACCATGTTACAGTTGTGTCCTGTACAGGCTCCCACAACTTGCTGTATTCCAACTGCTGAGCATGACTAAACTAACATACAGAAAGTCTTATTCATAGGAGGCTGTTCACAGGGGAATGAAGATAAATACGAAGATGCAGTAACAGGATCTAAGTAAACAGCACAGACACACTCAAGCACCCAGTTCAAATAGTAACAGCACATTCTGACCCGTTTCAAGTGAAGACCTAATTCCTGGAACAGATTAACTCCTCCACCCTCAAAATCATTTTGGCTGCCACATCCCAGGATGATTCTTACCAAACACAAATGTGCAAATTTGTGGCCTTCAACTGATACTAACAATGCTCCCTAGTTGGCAAGAACATTGTTGCTGTCTTCGCATGACCTGCATTCTCTCCGTCTCCAGGATTAAAAAGTAATAATCCTATCTCCACAGAGTAATTCTAGAGCTGAAGAACTACCAACCTGTCTTTCTGTCACATAGAAACACCACCAGTATTTATTTCCCTGGTAAGATCCGCTAGACAGTGGCAATGTTTATCATTATAAACAAACTTAGAATCCTGTAATAGTCAAAGAGAGCAAACCCTGATACCATCTTAAATAAGAAGCGTTACAGATTGCACGGTCCCTAATCCAATTTAGGCAGGAGCAGAAAGGGCTGAAGCCACCAGCCTTCAAAGCAGCAACTACTTGGTTGCTTTGCAAGAAGAGCCTGAATCATGCAATGCAGCTACTGAGGTGGGCAGCGGTATAAAAATTAAGTGTGGCTAGGCTACTGGAAAATGTCTGTATTCAGCACAATCTCCACAAGCAGAACTTCTGAAGAGTTCTGACAATAAAATAAAGTTGTTTCCCTGAGAGAGCACAGCACCTGCTCCTCCATGTACTTGAGTCTCCACTGAGCTCCATCAGGGAATCAAGACCCACCTCTGGCAACAGAGCCTAAATAGTAGGTTACTGAACTGCAGGTGAAACCTCCCAGAAGAGGTCACAAAAACAGAAAAATACTTTTCCAAGAAAGCTAACAACAGCAAAAGTCAGTATTACTCTGATGAGAAGTGGTGGACTGACAGCCCCAGAGACCCAAGTCCTCTCTTCTTTTCCCCAGTATGGCACCTGTGATCACTGCACACACTTCCTCGCAGTTCATTTTTCATCAGTCTGGATGGGTCAATTTCTGGAAAATTAAGTGCATTCAGTCCCCAGCCTTTCTTTTGCCACAGCAAATAAAGAGGTCAATACAGGATTTAGATGTGAAGAATCATTTTACAGAGAACTGTTAGTCAAATGTAACTCCGGTGATTCCAAAAACAGTTAGTTAACAAGTGATACCTGAAGGAATGAAGAACGTATAGCCTTGTTTCAGCTCAATTCTTTGGCATCGTTCCACTCTGTCTCCCAGAAAGATATCACTTTGCTTTCCTGAGAGAACCCATTCTTCATAAAGTTCTAGATTCTGCAGAGTAGGTGGAATCAGCCAGAAGATCTAAAAATAAAATAAAGATTTAACTATTACCAACAGTCAACAAAAATAAATAGCTGAGAAATTCCAACAAGGTTATCATGCATTAGACAAATGAACACATAACACCAAGCCCGCCTTCTGCATAAAACATGTATTTTTCCAGGTATTGTACCCAGAAGCACACAGCAGACTGTAGCAGCAATTAAGTCCATGTGCTGGAATCGGCAAGGTAACTGTCAGTTGTCATCTCTCTTCCATGAAACATCTTACTCAAAAGATGCCTGCAGAGTTTACTTTCCATTCAAAACAGTGCGTTCGTATAGTACAGCTTCATCAGACTATATAGATGAACAGTATCTGTACCACAGAGATGTTCAATCTGCTGCCTTTATTTTAGTGCCCACCATACACTGCCTAGACTACAGTTGGGAAAAGCAACCTAAAACAGTAAAGATGTAAAAACAGCTATACATGCTTCATATTTAAATGCTTCTTTATCCTGTAATATTTCAGTTCAGGCACAGCCACAGTGTGCATGTGCACACTAAAGGAACATGGAATCTCCAAAAGGAAACAGAAGCTCTAGCCACAAAAGGAGACTTGTGAGGGCACTCTGACCCAACAAGGGTACTCACAGCCATGTACTCATTGCAAGACACTTCTAAACCATGCAGCAGTAACAAGCCTAAAAGGACCACCAACAGCAAACACTACATTTGGTATTTCAAGTCAGTCACTCGTTTGTGTCATAAAGAAGAATGGTGCCCTTCTAGTTCAGCAAACTCCCCGTACATCAACAAAGCTGACTGATATAGACTGATCACTGACAAGCACACCCCCCCCGCCAAAAAAAAAAAAAAAAAAAAAGAGAAGAAGAAAAATAGAAGAAAGCAATCCCTCCCTTCCGTAAGAGGCACACAGAAATAAAAACAAATATCAAACAAGATTCACCTACCTTCCCCCCACGGAAAACGTGATACCACACTGAAGTGCCACCAAAATCAATATGAAAATCAGTGAAGCATCCTTTCACACTCATCAAACAGTACCTGTAAGCAGAGTGAAGGACAAAAATGAATCAGTCTGAAACAGTATTTTTCACGTCTCCATTTGCAGCGGTTAACTGCATGTGTGATACTGTTTCCACCAATTAAGTTTCTGCATTTATAGTACTGGAGATTTGTCTCAGGAAGTATCTGTAACTAGGTTTCTGCTGAAAAAACGTGTATCTCCACGTTTGAGTTTGTTATTCATACAACTCGAACGAAAGCTTTCAGAGTTAAGGAATGGAAAAAACATTAAAAGTTATGTTGTTCAGAAATATGTCTTCTGCCACTGCCAATCCCTGGGGGGATCTGTTTAATGTTCTCCTTCACCGCTCGAGAGACATAACCTTCACAAAAAGTTGTACACAAATTGCTTCAAAGAGCAAAGTTTTGAAAAAAATCTAATTTGCTTATAAATCCTCCTGAATGTTCTCTACCTACTTGCCACTAATGCCATTTTTGCAAGGATTGGGGGACAGAAACCTCATTTGGCAAATTAATTCCTTTTTGTTCACATTTCTAGGCATTTCTGCATCAAAATACATAAAGGAACCAGCTGGCAGCATTGCTAAGTATCAAATCCACTATTTTTTACGCCGTCTCAATTCAGGCTTTCAAAGCAGTTTAAAGTCAGCGTCACTGGAAGGAGATACACGCGCTCTCATCCCGCTGCATGAATCTCAAGCCTCCAGCCACCATCTGTAACTAATGGCCGAATTACAGCCGCCCTTCTCACTATAGGCACCTTTGCAAACGCAGGAAACACACACCACTTAACCCACTAACCTCTTTTCCTTGTTCCGGTCTCCGTTTCATGGCTTTTTTTTTTTGTTTTTTTTTTTGTTTGGTTTTTTTTTTTGGAGGGGGGATTATGGAAAGAGTACCAGAATGGGATTTGCAAAAAAAAAGAAAAAAGGTTTCATTTAACTGTGTCTTTTTCGCATCACATTCAGGTAGAGAGAATCTCAGCAGTATGCAGACGGCGTGCAGAAGTCCCTCTAGATGATAGGCTGGAAAGGACCTTACCATGTGTCTGCAGAAGGCTGGCAAATCAGAGAGACTATAGGTACATAAGAGCCCGCTGCCTAGCAACCACATCCCGAGCCGGAGTTGACAGAATGATACGCAATGCTGTCATGAAGACAGTCAATTTGTGGGCTTCAAAAAAGGTCCTGCGCCTTCATCTCACAATTAAAACCTCTCCTTGTGCAATTAGACGTCTCTCCTCTTGCCCACTCTGGAATTTTTTTTTTTTTAATTTTTTTTTTTTTTTTTTTTTTTTAATCCTTCAGAAGCAGGAAGAGAGCTTTTTCTGCCCCTGGGGTATTTCAGATGCTTCAAAAATCACAGTTAGCCAAGACGCTGTCTAGACTCTCAATACACTCCATTTCAAAATATGAGTCCTTCCCTCCCAAAGACTTTTTTTTTTTTTTAATTTCTCCTTTTATGTTTTCTCTACCAAGATGTTGTTGACTACAAGTCAGATAGAATTTAAAAACAATAAAAGAAGCCCAGAAAGGAAGTTGCCTTTCTTCCAGCCAAACTGAAAAAAGTCCCAGATTGAATAATTGCTTCTAAAACAAAAAAACAACATGGACATTCTCAGTTTGTGGGCAGTGTTGAGTATTAGAGGTTCTTGTTGTTTTAAAGTAAAACCAAAAAAATTAAATCCTTATGGAATCAATTATTTTCAGCTTCCAAAAGGTCAGATGTAGAATACATCAAACTAACAAAAATTTTCTGAGACAGTGCTACCTACCAACAATTACCTGTTCATATTAAGATATTCTGAAAGAGCATAAATGGCCTAAGCATTAGCCAGTTTTATTTATTCCTCAGTAGTCAATAATCTAAACTTGAAGCTGTCAAACTGTTTGTATTCCGAGAGGAGATAACAGGATTGAATTCTCTGTCAAATCAAAGTGATGAAAATTTAGGTTTGTGAGAAAAGACCAAGGCAGATATAACTGTGAACACATAACTTCTGTTTTCCTTTTTTCCCCCCCATTTTCCCCGCTATTTTCTTGAAACGCCTCTTAACACAACAATTTCCATTCCAGTAAAGGTGGTTCTAGTGAAAGAACCACATATGGTGATTAATAAAAACCTAAAAGCATTTGGGAAAAAAAACAAACCAACAAACAGTTTTTCTTTCCATCCACAATCGAGCCATTCCATATTTAATTTCTGCTGTTAAATCTTACAGGGCTGCTTTTGTCCAACCCGAAGAGCTACCGAAAGGCTCAGGAGCCTGAAAAAGCGATCTTCCGCCATATAGCAATCTCCCTTGTTGCCAGAGTCTGGCACAATGCCTTTGCATTGACCTCTACAGCTTCCTCTTCCAATGTACACCGCAGTCACATGGTCCCAGCGCAGCTCCATGCCCCAGCTAATCTTATGTACACCGCTCTGCTCCAACCTCAGCAAGCAGCTTCTCATCACTAACAGCTGCTAATTTGGGGAACGACTCAACTTTTCAGGTTTTTCCATAACAAAAACAAAACAACAAACAACAACAACAACAAAAAAAGAGTGGGGGGAAAAAAGCCATAGCACAGCATCCATGTTGAAAGAAATCTAGTAACTACATCCCATTGCGTGCTCTGGTTGCAGCTCTGCGACTTCAGCACCCTGGGCCAGAGCGGGTAACGTGGGTTACAGGAACCCAAACCCAAGAAGGGCATGAGGAGGCAGTCTGATCCGAGTTACACCCTGAAAAAACAGGCGACGCAAAAGATGCCCCAACTTTATTTTTTTGCTACAACTGCCACCACATCCAATCCCTGCATACTCCACTTTATCACCCTGCCCAGCCTCAGCTAGGGTTTTAAAACATGCAGCTGCATGTAATCTGTTGTGGGGGAGCTTCCCTTCCCCACTGAAGAGTTTGTTTTATGCTCTCCATAAGCCTGAAATTGTTCAAGTTAACGTATTGTTATTTTGGAGGAAGGATTCGTGGTGCAGGGGAAAGGGGAACGTTCCCCCCAAAGATCTGGGGAGATTTGTTAGAGAAATGGTGCGAAGAAATATGGAGTAACCTGCCAACTCACAGGGAAGAACAAACACAGAGATCCCCAAAAAAAGAGAGTGAGATGGCACGAATGAAGCTAAACCACTAAGCAAACAGAGAGAGCTGGGAACACCGAAACAACACAGAGACACCGCTCCATAAGCCAGCGCAGATACCACACTCCCAGGCAAACCCACAATGCACTCGCCACGCATAGCTACAAACCCGCAAGCAAAGAGAGAAACAAAGACAAGCGACGGACGCGCCGGGATGCGAAGGCACAGAGGCGCAGGCAGACGCAGGCAGGCAGGGGAAGGCAGAGGCGCAACGTACATGCACATGGACTCGGGGGAGACGCGCAGGCACAGGCAGAGGCAGCATTACCCTGAGCTTAGCTCCTTTTCTCTCGCAATAGGTACAGCGCACCATACGGCTCTATTCCCTCTGGCATTGCGAGGGCTCCCCTGCCACTGAGCTCAGCCCATAAACCACTCCCAAACCCCAGCAGAGGCTTCTGTTTTTTGTTCGGGCCAATGAGAAAAGTATAGCTCACTCTTCCTTCCTCCCAGGAGCAGCGCCGGCTGGTTGAAATCCCTAAGCCTGAAACCGAATACCACAAACCCATGAGCCAACTGCAAGTGCCAAACCGGGGAAAAGGAGCAGGCCCTGCTCTGTGCGGTCGCTCGCTTGCTCTCTCCTCGCCCCCGGGCGGGAGAGGTGCTCCCAGGCCGTCGGACGAGGGAGGCTGCGGCGGTCCCCGGCGGCATCCCGGCACCCCGGGGTCCCCTTCTCCCAGGCCTCGCCTCACAGCATCTGGAAGCGGGAGCTGGAAGGTCACAGCAGGAAACAATAGCTACCTTCGGGCGACTCCTCACGCTACCGGCCTGACCCGCACTCAGCAACACTCCCACACTGGGGCCCTGTAACTGAAAGCCACAAATTACGCCGCAAGACAAAAGAAAC